TCCCCTGATCTTCTGTGTACTGGTTAGTGGTTCTGTGCACTCCCAACTGAATAAAATGGTAGACACTTGTGGAGGCACAAGCACCCATTTATCCTTTTTAGTGCTAGTGGATTATGTTAACCCTAAACACTGACAAGTGCTAGGGCACAAATAATCACATTGTAGACACTGTTCTGCATTTTCAGAACATGGAAATACTATCAAGAATTTTTTTGGGATGTTGTCAAGAAGTTTTCAAAACTCAGACTGGTGAGATATTAGGAAAGATTTCTAAACTGTGTATGTCAGTCAAATGGCAACACTTGTGCTTGCAGGTCTACTGAAAAATGAGAGAGAAATTAAAGATGTTGCTCTTCATAACAGACTATAATTGAAGGGGCAAAAAATAGTTCAAATATTTATCACTAAATCTACAGAATTCCTTAAAAGGAAACCAAAATAGTTCATATTTTATGTACTATATAAAAGTACAAATATAACATTCAAAAGTTCTTTGAACAATTTATATATAAATCATTATAAATCTAAGCATGGCATGGACAAAGAAGTATTATCAATAGTTATAACTGTAATGGCTGAACCAAATATCAAGTACTTATGAAGATGTCTATTAACTCTTATAAATCGAAGGGTTACTGTAGTGCAACTGCTTAAGAGCTGGTAGTCAAGTAACAAGTAACAACATTGCCTACACCATCCAGTCTGTTCCTTTCTCAGATTTCAAAACATCTGAACTTTCCTGAAATATTTCAAACTGTGATTCTTCAAACATCTTTCTTCCAGAAAGTTCTAGCAGAGGAGAAATCTGTATTTAGAGACACCAATGGAGCATTGGCAGTGACTGATTTTGTTAAAGACAGTGGAAAACTTTCAGGAGTTTAGTGCCACATGCACTCAGTCTGAAAAGAGTAGGCACTTTGTAACAAAGCACGGGACGTTGCCAAAATTTTCTCTCTGTACTAAAATTGTTTTCATGCTTTTTCTCTTTTTTCTTGATCTACAAATACAGTATGCAATGTTTACAGGAGTTAGTTATGTATTTAGAAAACAACTTTTCTACAGCTATCAAGACACAGAGACCTCGAGCCCAAATAAAGCTCTGCAGATTAAATACTAGTTTGGCAGTATTTACTTACCTATTTTCATTAAAATGTAGGTGTGAATATTTGAAAGTAATACTCACTTTCCTCTTTCTTTTTCTCCATATTTCCAAATTTCTTGTCTTTTTAATAGGTTCATTTAAATGTATCTGGCACCTTTTCAATGTCTCTGCTGGAAAATGCAGAGAAAGTTTTCTTATGAAATATACTACAATCTTCCAACGCAGAAGCAATATAAAAATTTTAATTCTCTTTCTTGATCCTCTTTTGCTCTCTGGCTCACAAACAATTAAAATCCAGACCATCCATCTGATCCAACATCTTGCTAGAACAAAGAGATCAGAATCTGAATGCAGACAAACAGATTATTTACTGAGGCTGTCACTGTAGCAGACCTCTCTCATTTACAGTGAGACAACTCTAGTCTCCACTGCTGATACTCTACAAAGTGATAATTCTTAACTTCTGTTGGGGTCTCATAAGCCAACAGCAAATTAGGGACTCCAATTGCACATGGAGCAAAGGAGAAGGTCTCCTCGACACTCAGGTCCTCTGTGTTCTCAGAGATGGTTTTGTGCTGTGTTGACTTTGGCTTCTGAGGAACCTCAGTGCTTACACCCCTCGGCAGAAGGTTTGGGTTTGGGCCCTCTTAACAGCAAAAACTTGTTGAAAAATCTTACATAAGCACCTACATTTCATTCTATCTGATAAAAGGGAGACAGAACAAAGATGTGAAAACAGACAGTAAGTAGATTAAACAGCATGAAGAAATACTACTTATAGTTAAATTTCCTTTTATGGATGGTAGACTATTACCAGGTCTGGAAAATAATGTTTACATGTGGTTCAAACACTCTACAACTAAACATACCTGGTAACACATTGTACCAGCTTGAGAACTACCCAAACTGCCAGTGTTGCCATGTCAGACACGTGTGCATCCTTTTTTGCAGGCACATCATAATTTGAGATATCAGAGAGCACTGTTTTTCCTGTAATTATAAAGACTGGCTTGTTTTGGCTAAAGTCCTTTGGTACTGTGAGTGGTATTTGTGAGGACAGAAACGAGGTCATAGTTCATCCCTTAACTGCTTGTTCTAACTTATGAACGGGACAGATGGGGGTGGGAGGGAGAACACATGACAGCTCCAGTATGTGCTCCAGAGTTCTGTTACAGCAACCAGCATTTGAACTGTTGTATACAGTCACTACAAAAAAATATGCTTATGTGAGAGTGATGCTTATGAGAGACTCCCACATACTACACAAGGGGAGTTTGAGCCTAGGTGATAAGGTTGGAGGTGTTGTGCTCATTCTCATCTTCCTCACTGGTTCCAGACTTTAAGATCAGAAGTGAAGGCACACAAAATAATTTGCCATTTGAATAGTGCTAAACCTAGGAAGAGAGATAAAAATTGCATCTTTTTCTTGGAAACTCACGGTCACCAGAAGAATTCGTGCCAGCAAACAAGGAATTGAATTAAATCCAGTGCACACTTTCAGCTAAGTGGCATTTAATTCACAATGGGACTGCTCTCCATGAGTTACCGCTGATCACATATGCTTTCCCAAGTAGGCTAAAGCTCTGCTGTTCTAGATTGGTAGCATTTCACATTCACTGCATGGTGAAAGGTTATGGTGAAAGGTTGCTGAGAACTAAGCCTAGATGGTATCACAGGTCTTGGCTTGTTATACAGAGAATTTGCTAGGAAAGGAGTGACATTGGTGCAAATCCTCTGTATTGGCGAAGCAAACAACCACACACACTGTGCATTGTTGCCATCCACCTTGGTTTAAATTCTGCAACTCAGGCTACATAGAGGGACACTATATAGCCACAACCCTTATGTTGCAGGAGCACACACAAACAGAAGGACTTAGTCCCTTCTACTTTCCCACATCAAATTCATCCCTGAGCTCTGTAGTTACAGTGTAGAAGAAGGATAGGAGAGGAATATTTTGGTCAGTTCTTTCTCTGCCTCAGTTTTACATCTGAAGACAAGGATGGATAAGCTTTAGACAGTTTAACACTCTACATTACTTCATGATCCCTTTTTCCTGGATCAATTTTGTTTAATTATGAAGTCATACAAGCTTTCCTTGCTGAATTTTGTGCTTTACAAAAGCTTAGTTCAATGTGGCTAAATGTATTCACTACCTTTAATAAAACTGTGGAAATAAATGAGGGAAAATATTTGTTTCCTCTATCCTCCTTCCAAGGCATTGTTGTTCTTTCCAGTGTTCTTTGGAGTGTATTTTTGGTAGGCTTGTCCAAGCTGGTTATAAGTCTTTTTATTTATAAAGAATGAGCTGTATGAGGACATGACTTTGAGTGATGCTGGATAAATAGGGACTGTCCATCAAAGCAGAGTTAACAAATGTTTATTTGTTAGAACCACTAGACGTCAGGAATTCTGCTGTCATTTCACTCCTGATATTTCTGAGCCCAAAGAAATGGGAGATTCAGATAGGTTTTCCAAAATCAGTAATGGGTTCTGTCTGCATAACTTTTGTCTATTATTTGACATTTCCACAACCTATTTCTCCTCAGGCTACAATATTTCACTGTTATAAACTGCCAGTGAAATCCTTCCTCTCCCAGTTTCCAAGTCAGTACCTTTACCCAGACAAACCTTCACCAGTCTTACGCAGGTTTGTGTAGCATAAACACAGTGGTGACTGCTGCAGTGTTTATAATACTATTTTTATAACAGTCTATAAAGCTGACATGCACCTTCAGCAAAATGTTGTAACACACCTCCTGACATTCTATGCAGCTGTTGTTCCACTCACAACTCCCACTGAACTATGTACAATGTTTTAGGTGTGGATGTGCCAAAACATCACAGGGAAGCACTAAAACCTCTCACTACTCTGATTTGTTGTATTACAGCTTAAAGCCGTAATAAGGCTCTGAAAGCCCTCAGTAGCCAAATGACTGTGACTCTGATGTCTCTTTGGGACAAAGAAGAAGTTTTCAAGGCCAGTATAGTCTTTGCCACAAACAGATGCGGGGAACAGGAATTCCACCTGCCCTAACACCAAATGATAGGGAACAGGAATGTAAGGCAGAGCTGGCCACAGCCTGCTGGAGGCCATGGGCAGAGCCAGAGAATACTCAGCAATAGAATTCCACTATCTGAAGCCTGTTCCAGGCCAATGTGGCAGTAAAGGGCTACAGTAACCACAGTCATAACCATAAGACAACAGAGAATAAAACATTAAAAACATCTCAATAAATTGTAGCATAATGAGCCATTGGCTTTCAGACCTGTCTGGAAAGGCCTGGCACTTGCTCATCTCCACCTTCCACGTGACCTCCCGTGTCACCACAGTTCATTTGGCAGAACTGAGGGCACAAACACTCCCTGTTCCACCACAGCACAAAGGTCTATGCTCTATTCACTGTCTGTGAATGCTTCAAGGCACTGCTTGAAAACAGGTGTGAGGACCTTCAGAAAGCTCACAATTTACCTCCATCCTATAAAATTTAGTGGGTGCTGAAGAGTACAAATGCACTTACTATCACAGAACAGATTTTTTATCATTTTTCTGCAGAAAAAAAATAACCTCTCCCAAATTCTTTATCCTTTAAGAACTCAGACATATAATGAAAGCCATGAGTCATCTGGAGCTACTACAGTCAGACTAACATAACTGCAGCTTGACAACAATGGTGCAGCAATGAAAACACACTCATAAATATTTTTGTCACCTTGGTACCTTCTGTGAATGGGGAGTAATGCAATCACAGTTTGACATCATGACTGGTATCAGTTTGTCTTCTGCCTAGGTTCAAGAGATATTGTCATAAAAGTTACACAACTGTCTGCCAATAATTATTCTTAACAGCAAATTTAATAGAGTTTTGGCATCCATACCTGGAAGCCTAGAACTTACATAGCTTCTCCTCATGTATTCCATGTGCACTTTGAAGGATAACATCACACTCTCCATCTCTCCTTATAGCTTCAACACCTGCAATTTTGCATAAAAATAAGCTGAATCTTAAAAGCATAAATGAATTTGCAAAAATCAATAAGGACAATAAATTAAAGTTGGCAAAAATAGAGCAGGGGTGCTGTGAAGACCATTAGCTTTCCAGAGTACTGCCTAACTAATCTAAGGCTGAAATGGAATAATCACACTTTAAAGAGCAGATTACTTACTAAACACTTGCCTTTTTGTTTGTTTTTTTTTTAATTAAACATACAGTCTTAGTATCCAAGGCATAGTTTTAAGGTAATAACAATATCCTACCCCCAGTAACTAAAGGGCAGTGAAGAAACAGGAAATCCTGCCTTTGCTGGCATAAGAAAGCAAGTGAATGGGACTATCCTCAGCCCAGCAAAGCTTCCTGCCTGGTAGCACTGAGAAGCTTCCTCGTGCTGGACCAGTCTGGGATTAAACATTGGAGTTCAACTACCAAAACTGTCAGTCAAGAACCTTTCAAGCAACCTAAATTCATATTGAAGTGCTAAAGGAAATGCATGAAATAGAAGCAAGTCATTCAGTGTTCACAAAACACAGCTGATTTAAAGCAAACTACATAACCTGTTGCATGGGTGGACTTTTATCTCATGTGGGTTTAGTTGACAGAGCAAAAAATTTTAGCCAATACAAGGTTAGAGGCCATCCTCTGAACAGATGCAAGTGATAACCCTGTGAGCTCAGCTGTCTGCTCCAATCGCCTTGCAAATGAGAGTGTGTTTCCAGCAAAAATTACAGGAATTTAGTCAGTTTGTTTGGACTAAGTGAAATTGCACAACTATACAATTCTGCACGCAAATGCTGTGGAAGCACTGTGGAGGCTTCCTCATAGGGGCTTTAAATAGAAGGTACCAGAACTCTATAAACTCTCCCCAAACAAAGTAATGCTTCCATTTCTAGGGAGTAAATGTGGCCCAGCAATCTTTCTTTGCCCTTGGTACCACATATGCAACAAAGGTAATTCTCCTTTAGTATTTATTCAGAATCTTAAAATTTAGCCAAGTTAAGAGTTTCTGACTCCTCAATGAGGGGCTCGCAGTACCAAGTGCCATTTATTTTAAAGGCCCAGCTCCTGGAATCCTGTGATCATCCTCCCACATTTCATTTACAAATGTAAAAAGCACAGGGGATGCTGGTGTTTGACAGTACTCTAAAGCTGATTTATATGCTGAAGGCAGTCTATCCATGGCAGCACGGAGCTGCACACAGACAAATTCACCCTGCTGCACTGTTCAGCATGCTGACACAGCAGGTATTGACACAGCTTGCACATATATCACAATATTGATACAGGATACAGCAGGTAAGTTTCAAGCCTTCGTGACTCCCCAGGGAAGCACATGAAATAAAAATCATCAAAAGAATAAAAAGGATTCAATGAACCCTGCTTCTCTTCTGGTTTTCCTGATCTGGGACGAGGTTCATTAGTTCTGAGCAGAATGCCTGATCTCTGCCAGTCCGATAGGAGACCATTTTGGCTGCAAGCCCAGCCTGCCTCTACCTGCAATACTGCCAGCTCCTGCTGTCTTTAGGCCCTTTATCACTTCTTCTTTAGCCTGGAAGGGCGGCATTGTCAGAAATTCTCCATAACCAACACTAAACGTCACTGCTGAGTGATGTGAAGCAGTGGCACAAAGGCTGAGCACCCACAGTCCTCTGAAATCCTCCTGAACAGATCAGAGAGATCCAGGGTGAAAAATTGAATCTAAGACACTGAGTAAGCAGAAAATTCCTTCAACACCAGGCTACTGGACCATTCCTCAAATTTACCAAAGCATTTCAGCAATATGCTCTACAACCTTTTTAAATGCCCTATGGTGCTGGATTACTTATGGCTTCCCACTATTGCTCCCATTAAAGACTTCTGTTAGTGCATTATGCATACAGAGGTCGGACACTCTAAGAACAGTGTAAATGGAAAGCATTCTGGATGAAAAACAGGCTTAATGCTGCTTTTTAGCTACAATTCAGCATCAAAGTCCTGTGTGGGGCAACTGAGGCGGGCAGCATGGTGTGATGTTCTCGTCCGACAGCAATGTCAAACACAGCAGTATCCGCCCCCGAGAGAGGCGCACAGCACGGTTCAGCATTTCATCAAGCCGGTGCTCACATGGAGCAAGGACCTACTCTGAGGAGGGGGCGGAGGGGGCGGAGGGCACCTCCCGCCCCCCCATGCTCCGCGCTGATGGGACGTCAGCGCGGCCGCTCCCCTTGCGGGGCCCCGCAGGATTTCCTGCCTCCGCAGCCCCTCAATTCCTGGAAGCGATGTCTCCCCAAGACAGGAAGGGCGGGCGCGGCGCCGCCGGCTGCACCGAAGCCCCCCGTGAGGGGATGCGGCGACCCCCGGGCCCCCTCAGAGCGGAGCGGCGCGCGGCACAACCCCACTCACCCCACCGCCCCCCATCCTCCGCGCGCTTTCCCGCCGCCGCCGCGCGCACGCAGGCGCCGCTGTAACGGCCGCGGCAGCGGCACCGCGTGCCGGGGCGCGCTCAACGTGACGGAGCTGATTGGCTGGGGCGCGCGCGCGCCGCTCCGCTCGCTCCGGGCCGGGCAGGGCAGGGCGGGACCCGCCGCACCCGGCACCGGCACCGGGCATTGGGCACCGCACCGGGCGTTGGGCACCGCGCACCCCGCCCACACACAGCACGGGCAATTGGGCCCGCGCACAACCGCGTCCACACACAGCACCGGCATTGGGCACCGCGCACACCGCTCCACACACAGCACCGGGCACACCGCTCCACACACAGCACCGGGCATGGGGCACCGGGCACCAGCACACAGCACCGGGCATCGCACACACCGCTACCACACACAGCATCGGGCATTGGGCACCGGGCACCGCACACACCCACACGCAAGCGCCGGGCACCGCACGGGCACCGCACCAGGCTAACCGCACCGCGCTGGGTCATTTCTGTCCCGCCCCCAGCGGGTCCCGCTCCGCGCTCAGGTGAGACGCTGCGGCCCCGGTCATGGGAAGAAGGGAGGGAAGAAGGGAGAGAGGGAGCGAGCGGGTGGTGCCCACTGTCTAGGCTTCCCGAGGCTCTCCCGGCGGGACGCGGTGACCCGGCGGGGCCGGGCGCGTGGGAGTTGCGCTGGAGCGGCGGGAAGGAAGGAGAGGTGGGTGGCGGAGAAGCCCAGCGGGCCGGGGCGCTCCCCGCTCCGGGGCACGTCCTGACCGGAGCCCCGGGCTCCTGCCCCAGCGGGGTCCTGGTACCCGCCCGGCTCGTGCTGGTGTCTCGTGCCCTTCGCCGGTAAGGCCGAAAATGCTGATGGCTCTCCCGGGAGTCAGGCGGTCCTACTGCATCGCTGCCGACCCATTGGATACCGTTAGGCGTGTTTGGTGTTTCTGTGGTTGAACGCGGTGCAAATAGTGCACCTGGGGTGTTTGTCGCTGCACCTGGCATGACTTTTACACGTTCATGCGGGAAATTTATCGTGGCTGCCCCCTCTTTGTGAAAACTAGATGGACAAATCTAAAATTTGTTTGTATTTCACTTTCCTGGTGTTGGTTTGGCACATTTTCCATAGAAAGGAAACTTTCTTCTCCTGTAGACTCTCCAGGCGCTTTCTGAAAGCACTTTATTTGAAAAGCAATTTGCTGAATTAACATAGCATGCACAAAGATAACCTGAGTTGACGTACTAGCAGAATAACATCTATCTCGTGAGCAGAAATGCAATATTCCTACCCTTAGGTTCCTTTTTAATCTTAAATTATTAATGGTTCTCTGCATTACAAGAATGAAATTTATAATTGGTACAGAGTGCAAATGCGTGTCGAGAACTGGATACAAGAAGATTATGAAGAAAGATGTACCTCCCAAAAAGACTAGCAGGAGAATGAAGTTAGAGAGCCTCTTCTCTTCTTTACAGTTGTTGAGAACCTCTGGGGAGAAGCACTGGGCTGTATCCAGCCCAACTCTTTTGCAGCTCTCCAAAAGGAAGAATGGAAAAGGGCAAAACTTTTCCCTACTTGGATAGCATAGGAAATTAGAGCTTTAGTACATGCACTTTTTAGCAGCTGTTTAACTGAGTCGTTATGGGTGCTTCTAAGGCAGGGTGAGTGGCAATCATAGTATCCCATCTTCTTTTAGAACCTGATTGTCAACTTCTCACCAAATGTTGTCATTTGTACTTAGCTAAATAGAAATATTTACATCACGTCATCAGTTTCTTTTGTCTGCGTAATCAATGCAGGAAAAAATTCCTTTTTCTCTAAGGGAGACCCTAGAAAAAGCACACTTGCCTAAACTGAAGTAGAAAGGGCAAAACACTTGCATTTACTATGGATTCTAGAACACTAAAGGTTTGAAATTATCTTGAGAGGAAATATTGGTTTAGGTATCAATGGGAGGTAAAATTTCTACTGTCTGTTCAACCATGTAATGTACAGCAAGTGAGGTGTATCATAGTAAAGATTACAACAGTGAATTAAGGTTCTGCTCTTTCTTTTACTTGAACTTTTTCTGGTATTTGAACTCTTAAAGGCAAAAGTTTGAAGTGAGAACATATTAAACAAGGAAGAAACACGAGGCTTAAAAGCAGTTTTCTTCTACAGAATCCTTCAAAGTTTGTTGAAGAGATTTGGGGTAGATGTACTGTGAATGTGTGGTGTTACAGAACTGAAAGCAATACACAGAGATGATGGGCTGGTAAAAGGAAACTAGAGTAGTATTAGAGGATAAAATTCTGCAATGTTTTTAGTTTTGTAATAATCTTCAAAAAAAAACAGGGGTGAGACAAAGACTGGATCAGCTTAGGCTTCTGAACAAGCCAAAGGTGAAGCTGAGGTGGATTTGAGGAGAAAATTGGGCTGAGCTTTCTTGAGTTTTCTGTAGTATCACTATGTTAGAGGAGTGTCTTGTCCATAACAGAAGAGGCTCCTAGACCAGATCACACATGATTGTTGGCCCCAACAAGTCATCCAGGGAGCCTAGTGTTCCACCCGGCCTTGCCTGCATTCCTTCTGGGCCTGGTTCACACTGCAAATGTTTCACCTGCCAACCTGCAGCAACAACCACCTGCTCCTCACCTTCCTGCCTATTTAAAGGAAATTCCCCCCTTTGGAGAATTAGACCATATAGGTACATCCCTCCCTGAATTACTCTGTGTTCCAGCTGGCTTTAGTTTCCCTCAGCTTACGCTGACCTTGTTGCATGTCCTGCAGACAGTACCACGGTGTGCTTGCTGTTGGGGGTGAGTGTGAGTTCAGGTAATGACTGCCTGGGTGTGGAGCAGATGGAAGAGAGAAGGAATTGCACTACCATGGAAGGAACTGTTGCTCTCTCATGCGGGCACTCAGGGTGAGAGTTGTATAAAGCCAGCTCTCTTCTCAGCTATGAGAGAGACTCAGATGAGGAAGGTCCATGTAAGGTTTAGCATCTCTATTCTTCTGAGTGCAGATCATCATCACAGAGATAGATGATCTGCTTGGTATGAAAGATGTTTATAATTTGAAGTTGTAATCAGTCAGCACAATGCTAATTAAGAATTGAGCCTTTCTTTTATGGTCCCAGCTATCTTCAAAACCAGAAACCCAAAGACTGAGGGTGGGGGAATGGAGGCCAGAAACATTTTTCTGTGAAGTGGAACTTTTAGGCTTATGCTTTAGTAATGATGAAAATCAGGTTTAGCTACATTTCTATCCACTTACATTCTTCAAACAACTGGTCTGACTTTACAGCACAACAATTTAAAAACGCCTCAGCAAGCAGAAGAGTCTCAGTGTGTCCTTTAATAGGGCAATAATGTAAATAATTAATGATTGCTGAGAAAGAATTATGAATGAACTGGTGCATGTCTGTTTGAGAGCGAGAAGGATCTTGATGTATCTTTGGAGGCCATGTCTGTGGATTTTAATGAGGACAAAGCAGAGAAAGGCTGTTAGAAGTGTATGAGATCTCAGTGAAATATAAACAGGGAGCTCTGGGTTTATGAGCAGGTAAATCAGATCCTTTTTTTTTTTTTTTTTTGAAAAGCTGCAAGTAACTTCTGATCTTCCTGCCATCAATACAGTTCTCAACAGTTGTAGCTGCATGAAACATGGCAGTTCAGGAAGACCGATATGATCTTTACCACTAAAATGCTTATTGTTAAGTGTCAAAGGGAAGGGAAGGACTTCTAGAGGGATATAAAGATCATGCCTCTAGCTCTTGTGTCAATCCCTTTGGCTTGCTTATTCCACAAAGGTGGAAGGAAGTGTTACTTCACTTCCTGTGTTTGCCCTCGCTGTTGTCTTATACTGGGTATCTACAGCAGGTGAGAATTTCTGTGAGTAGCTAACTTCAGTCCTAAATTCAACTCTGAAAAGTTGCTGATAAGAAGGGAGAAATGCCTGGAGAAGCTAAGTGGGCCACTAGTCTGTTCAGCTGAAGAATCTGCGTTTTACTTCAGCTACTCAAGCTAGAGCATGAACCTCTGAAACCTACTTGTGTCACTGAGCATTGCTTTGAGGGCACCATCTGAGGTGAAATCAGTTTTGCTCCCACCTTTGGTTCTTGGAAAACCTCAGCCTTGCTCTTGGATGGGAACCAAGCCACAATAACACAGACGTTTACCAAACCCAGCCAAGCACTTTCATAATTAATTTCATTTGGGACCAAAGGAGAAGCAACACAGAAGTCCCAGTTCATGTGTCATCAGGCTGCTAGCCCATATTTTAGACTTGATATCTTCTTGAAGGTGGGCAAAAAAACCTACTCAGGCTCTGTTACCTAACAGAGAGGAGCTGGTCAACTGTGATAGAGTAGTGCTCACTTATGACACCTAAGGTGATTTTTAAAATCTAAATCCAGAGGAAAATTACTAAAGAACAAGCTTCATTTGACAGAGCTGTGTCAATCTCCAGTTATGCTCAAGAGCTCATC